ATGGGGTTTAGGATAATTAACAGTGAATTGCAGGAGTTCATATTCAGTCAGTTTTCAGAGTTTTTAGGTCTGATCGTTGTTTTGGGCCAGCAGAGCCGATTTTTAGATGGAAACAACTCCAAGCTTGTTCTGCTAACCGCTCCATGAGAATCGGTGTGTTTGCTGAACGCGGCCCGCATCTCGGCTCTGATTAATTACTCCGACTCTCTGAGGAGTTGGAGGCGACATATGCTGCAAGAGCTCATTCGCATGAGTGTAAAACGTAACAAAGTAGCACAGTTAGCGCTGAGCTTCGGACTCAAGAGGAAGGCGCGGCTTCAGGTATGAGTGTGTGGCGTCTGCTGGTGTGTGTGTGTGTGTGTGTGTGTGTGTGTGTGTGAAGGCGTGGGTGTGTGCTGAGCGGGAGGCACCAGAGCCGCCGTCCGCAGTGCAGCAGGGGCATCCTGGCACGGACAGGGCACCAGATGTCAGAGCGGCGCAGGAACCTGCTCAGCGGACCAGTGACACTTTTTCTAGGGCTGAATTTGGATCTGGGCTTCCAGGAATAAACTCCCACAGACAGTCTGACTAAACCCGCCCTCGCACATCGCCAGGTCCAAATGGTTCCACTCGGAACCGGACACAGAAACAGATTAACTTTTCAAAGTGTTACTTAATTATGTGTTTTATCTGCTGATTTTAATTTACACGTTTTATCAGAACTCCAAGTGACAAACTCAAAATGGCAAATTAATTTAAACAGTTTCTACTTCAGAATCCCTAAAGCTGCAGTATGTAACTTTTATAAAAATGCATATTTTTACATATTTGAGACAATTAATCTGCTCCTCTACCGTCTCCCAGTGCCAACTAGAAACAACCAATCAGGGTCAGGAGGCGGGTCTTAGCGCTGTCAATCAACCCCCCTTTGTTCTCTGCTATCACAGCCTTTCCTGAATGCTAAAGCTAGTTAGCATGGCCACCAACAAACAGTAGTTTTGTAACAGTAACTTGTTTCTCCACCGTTGGCACATTTAGCAGCGAGTAAATGTGCCAATGCTAAAACCCGCCTCCTGGCTCTGATCGATTGATTTTGGTTGGGGGCTAATTTACATATTCTATAATAACCTGAAATTATGAAGGTTTATGTTTATATCTTGTTCTCTACTGTCAGTGTCTTATTTTGTTTCTGTACGTTTTTTTATTTGAAATAAAGTTCTTGGGGAAACAATGAGAGAAAGCAAGGAAAGGAAATGGAACTGCTGAGTAAACAGACTTCAAAATAAGAGCACAAACATAAACGTCCATAGTCAATAATCAAAACTTCAACACAAAAGTTGAACTTTATTCAGATGAGTTTCCAAAAAAACACGCAAATCATCATTTTATAACCTTCTGGAAGATCTAAATGTTCTCAAAGTTAGCATAAATGCTAAAGCACTAAACAAAAAATAATAGCTTAGCTATTAGCACATTACCAGAAGTGCTCCATCCAATCCACATTTATAATTTCTATTTGGAAAGACCTTTCAACACCTGGAAGTTTGTAGTTTTAATATAACAAAATGCTGAATGTTAAGAGGTTTGTATATTTTTGCACCGTTTACTTTTTGCTGTAGATGAACGTAAAGAGGCAGATTGTTTTAAAAGGCAGCATCTTTAATGTGTTCTCCTCACGTTCCTCTACAGAAGAGTCGCTAATAAACTGATGCAACGACTCTAAACAACATCAACCAAACAAGGATAAGAGACGATCGCAGTTAACGGTCTTTGGGAATGGCAAAATCAATACCCATAAAGAGCAAAGAGCTGTTAGCTAAGGCCATTAGTCGTCCAATGGCTGCTGAAATAAAGCAAAACCGACTCTTCAGAAGAGACGAGCATGAGAGGAAAGCAATAAAAATCCAGGACGGTGATGCTTTGAGTGCTTCACTTTAATTACCATCTACAAAACGGGAAAAATGGTTCATTTCTCTGGCAAATGAACAGATTTCACCCATTTATGCTCAAAACAAGCATTTTCTAAATGGCTGTAAATATATGACACAGCTCTTTATGATTCATCTTTTAGAAATTAAGAAAGCTTTACGTAATCAGTGGTTAGTTATATTGATTATTTGAGGTATTCAGAGGAATAATTATATTTAAAGCTCCGATAATGACAGTATTTTGGCTACAGTAAGTATGCAAATCCCATTATCCATAAATCCGCTTCTGATTGGTTGATCAGACCCTCATGATGACTCCTCTCCCGGAAACACAAACTGAGTGGAGTCCTAATCAGGATTTAATTAGGCCAACCCGTTGAAAATATTAAATATCCTAAAACATGATATTAAATCCTGTCAGACTCTGTGGAGTCGAATCTTTTTGCTTGAATTGTGCGCTACGCTACATTTTCAAAGAAAGTTTATGACCTTAACGGGGCAGTATGATATAAAATTTACTTATTTTTAGCTTTAAATCATGTTATTATGTTATTGGTTCATCAAAAACAAACCTGGAGTGTTGCTTTCATTCTTTCATGTTTGAGAAATCCTTTAATCTCCATGGCAACCATTCAAATAGCCTGGTTGGACCTAGCCCCGCCTCTGATCTGTAGCTCCTCCCCCACTGAGCTCCTTCAGACTAGCCAGCAGCAATTAGGTCATTATAGGAGACACTTCTCAGCATCTCTGATAAAACGCTGTCAGAGGGTTAACACAGGAGCCATGTTGGGACAACTTCCTGGAGGCGGAGCTTCTTAAAGACACAGAGGCCCATTTTAAGGCGTTAAATCAGGAAGTCAAATTTCTTTTAAGCCGTATTTGATAAATGTAGCATTTTTATAAAAAATGTTATGCTGTAAAATGGTATTTTGTGCCTGAAAAACACATAATACCTCCTGTTTAAAATAATTTAAGTGTTTTTCCAGACTGGAAGAAGCCGTTTCCCTTCGCTGCCTCCAGTTTCTCTGGACAGTGTCCAACAGTCGTACCATTACTGAGAGAAATCACTCAGGTTAAAAACAGATTACACATTCTCCATCAGATTAGGGAGGCTGTACGGACCTGCTCCCAGGATGGGATTTCGCTCTGCGTTCTTATTGCCTTGTGTGGTCAGAAATCCTGGTGGAAAAATGTTTCTGGATGGATCACACTGAAAAACAGCTGAAGAAACTCACAAAACGATCAAACCGGCTGTAATAAAGTCGTTATTTATCCGTTTTCAGATGAGAAGTGAAACATGTTTCTTGTAATGTGGGTGCAGCTGAGCAGTAAGATCTGGAAGGAGGAGAGAGGAGCGTGTTGCCTTGTGACTGAGATGCAGGGCGACAGTTGACCTATAAGGGGGCTGACTCACCCCCGCGTTCACTTCACCACTAATATATTCACTTAGTAGCGCTCAGGGGGGGTGCTGCTGCTAGAAACGGTGAAAACATTACACTCAGGACACAAAACAAGCATTTTAAAACAAAATTACAGCAGTGAATTTGTTTAGATGTAATTTGGCGACAGGAAGAGGAGAAAAGTGACTGAAAGTGATCCAGAGTGTGAGCAGAAAGAGGAAGAGACATAAAAAGCTCCTCGGACAGAAGCCTGAGTCTTATCAGCGGAAGATCGCTGCTGGAGATAACGCCAGCAGACAAGGCGTTGTGTTTAGCCTGTTTGAGATTTCCTGTCATCATCATTAAGTCAGCTCCTTCCACAGCCGAACAGACGGAGATAAACACAAACCGGACTCTTGTTGTGCAGAAAGCGCGCCGCTGCAGCTACAAATCTCGCTCAGATTCAGATATTCCAGAGTTTAATGTGAAATCTGTGTTTCTGCGGATGAAACTCATTTGTAATGAGGCTGCGGCGTTGGCTGGAGGCGGGGGGATGGAGCGGCGCTGACAGTAACGGTCTGTGACACATCCCCGCCGCAGGAGTCGTGGGCGCTAGTGTATTGTGACAGAGTGCGACCTTTAAAGGCCAGAGATTGATGCACAGCAGCTCCTAAACCCAGAGACTCAGGCTCCCCCCGTCCGCAGCCGGCCGGCCTAAAAAAGCCCCGCTGACCTCGCAGGAACAGGAAGTCGAACTGAGCATGTGCACAGAGTTATTCCTCCACATTCCTTAAATGTTGCCTTAAACAATGTGATCAATTACAGAAGCTGCCAATTAGCAGAGACCTTCTGACTAAAGGCAACGAGGAGTGAAAACAAGGTCCACTACTGCCACCTGCTGGTTGCATTCACCAACAAGAAATCAGACTGGATTATGATTTCACACTAAATTTACTGGATTACTGGTGGAATTCAGCAAAAGAGGAAAAATAAAAAAAGAAGCAGAAAAACCTTGGAAAGTTTAACATTTCAGCCACAAACTCAAATGTTTTCCATTGGGGTTTCAAATATTAAACAAAAATCAATAAAAGAAAAAATAAATCTGCTCATTTTCTAACTGAAAATAAAAAAATTGCCTCACTTTTTTAGATTTTATATTCTTAAAGACACAAAAGAAACTAAACACCATGCATTATTCTCCTCCCACTTCAAACACTCACCTCTTTGCTCTGATTTATCTCATAAATCCCTATAAACATTTTGAATTTGTGGCGATTAATCACATTTTTTTGTTGTACAGACTCAGGCTGGATCTATTGTGTTGCATTTCTGGTACGCCTGTAAATCTGACGCACATCTTTAAACAGCAGCAATAAAGTCGCTTCTTTCTTCCCACTGGGTTTAATTTCTGCTTCTAATCGATTTGATTGGATGCTGGAAAAACCTGTTGTTGTGTTCAAGTTGTGCTAAAAGGAGTCGTAGCAATAAGACAATGAAGTCGCAATATCACCATAATAAAGTCATAAAATTAAGAGAACATCTTTATATTACGATTTAAACAGATTAAAAACAATAAAAAATGTTTTTGTTGAGTTTATATGGCAATTTATTTTGCAGCAAAAAATGTTTCTGAATTGAACTGAATCATTATTGAATATAAATCTCGTAATTAACTTCAATAAAATTTCCCACCGCCTGATAAGACATAGTATTTTTCAGCTGTACTGTAAAACCGAGCCGGTTGAGTTACCTCTCGTAGATGGTCTTGAGTGTGACCTGATCCGACACGGCCTCGGCCTCCTCCAGGAACAGGATGATCCACGACGTTCTGTACGGCCACTCCTCCGTCAGGTGGATCCACGACGCCAGGCGGTCCCAGCTAAAGAGGATCTGATGGGCGCGCAGCAGGCGACCTGTCCGCGTCGGGTCAAAGGTCACCGTTCACTCTGATATGCATTTCATCTAACCTCTAACATTTACCGTTTGGGGTTTTTACAAACAGATAAACTTCAGATCGATGCTTTTTGAGCTGAATATTAAAACTTCCTGTCTTTAGATCAATAATATTCATCTGTTCTAGTAGCGCTAGCATCAATTAGCTGCTTTTTGAAGGATGAGTTTGATTTCCACGTCATCGCTTTTCGTTTTGCATCCTTTCAGTAGCGTATCGTTCCCCAAAGTTTTCGGCTTGTGACATTAAAAATGACGCAGATCAGAGATTATAAAGTCATAATAATACAAGAATAAAGTCACATTATTATGAGTATAAGGTCAAAATATTACAAAAAGTTTAAGTGATATCAGGATAAAGCTGTAATATTACTAAAATAGTAGTTTTATTTTACTAAAACAATAGTTTTATTTTACTAAAATAAAATGTACTAAATTTTATTTAGTAATAAAATTTATTTGCTAAATAAAAACATCATCATAATCATAATATATTAATAAAATAAAACTTTATTGTGATATTATTTTGACTTTATTCTTGTAATTTTCTTTCTTAAATTTTCTTACCATGGCTCCTAATACCCTGTCATGTCAAATAGTATATATTCTATGGTGTCTGAGTTGTGGATAAATAAACTAAGATATTAGAGTTGCTCGTTTCTGCTGCCTGACCTGTGATGGAGACGATGTTGAGCAGCCGCCTCATGGTCTGGGGGCTGATGTCACAGAACCAGTCCTCCGTCACCAGCAGCTTGGTCAGGTCGAACGACATCTGCCTGGTCATGGTCCTCTGCATCTGCCGCCGCCGGTACGTGTCCTGGACCAAACCGCAACAGAACAAGTGTTTCCGGTTCACAGAGTGTTTTCAGAACAAACAGACTCATCGTTTCTCAGATCAAATTCAATTAAAAATTTAAATCTATTAAATATTGTCCGATTATCTTAAAACAATCGTGGACGGTGATGCTATGGGGAGGAAGAATCTCCACTAGCAGTCAGTCTCGCAACACATTTGGAGAGGCCTCTGACTGAAGAATGCTGCTGTGTGACAGCATGACATGCTAACAGCTAAAGATCAATGTAAAGATATTCCACAGAAACATGTCCTGGATAACAACATCAGTTGCTAGCAAGCTCTGCTAATATCTGCTTTCAAAAATGTTAAAAAGTTTAACCAAAATGGGCGGAGTCAAGAGACTGAGGGGCGTGGTCACATGTGGGTATGAGCGAAGGGGGTGTGGTCAGAACGACATTTTTAGATCAGTTACTCTATGAAAACCTGTCAATGTTTAGAAAGCCGGGGAGACGTTGGGGTAGGGGATACAATCTGCTCTTTGGTACTGCTCTGCAGCCTCCTTCTCAGCTCCTCTAGGTCAAAGTTCAGGTATTATTGAACTTTCCAGATGCGACACCTTGTTGCCACAGTTACGCACTATAACCGTCTGTAAGCAAAAAAGTAAGAGTGTAAATCCTTCCAGCTGCACTGCATCCAAACCAAAGGGAATAATTACCAAACATGAAATGGTTCAGCCCCAAAACCTGAAGTTAGTTCAGTTTATCTCCTCCAAAACCAAGGTGGTGGCATTATGATGCTGAGGGCCTGAGACATTCCATGATAAAGTGTGTTTTGAAATAGACAGTGTTTCAAATCATCAAACCAGTTTAAATTTTAGTCAAACACGACACAAAATGCTGGAAACAAACTGAAGATGGCTGCAATGCTAACCCAGTGGACACAGGTTTGAACAGAATCTCCCAGTTGGTACAATAAAGATTCATCCATTAATTTACGAACCACTGACCGCTGGAGAAGAGTCACGACACACAGGCTTGGTCCTGACACAGATCCACAGCAGACATCTGTGTTGAAACCAGACAGCTGTTGTGGTCCAGAGCCAGCGCCAGCCTTTTGGTTCACTTTGAAGTTCTAACACCAGTCCCATGACCTTTCTCAGAGCGGCGCAGCATATGGCCACCGCTAGGTCAGAGCGGCTAACCGTACGGGCAGCAGCGTGTGCCTCGGTTCGCGGAACAGGTTTACTTATTTTTGTGATTTGAAAAGAAGAAGCAGCAGGTTTGCACACAGAAAATGTGCAGTGCACATTTTCACTAGTCTGCTAATGACAGAGCTAATTTTTAGCTTTGCGCTTTAGCATTTTAGCTTCCCCTAAATGACCTTTTCCTGGATACATCCTAAAGCACTTATCTACTTTGCTGTTTTGTGAACATTCAGTGGAATAAAGTTTGATATCTGTGTTGATGCACACTTGATGCTGTGCAGCAAATGATGTTTATTCTGTACCCAGAATGCATCACTGCACCGTAAACAGTTTGAAATCCACTGAGTCCTGCCCTGACTGAAGTCCTATAGAGGTTTAATCAGGCAGTTAGCAAAACTCAACAGCTACAAACTGAAACCACAAAATATCTGCTTTAAGGATCTCTTCCTGAAGAGAAACTGGGATGACGGGCGAAATTTGGGCCTTTGGGGCGATTTAACAAATGTTGTATAACTGACACATGGTGGCCATCAAAATGGCTGAAATTAGCACGTTAGCATTAGCTTCCACTAAATGCCACTTTAGCACTTTAGTGTTAGCACAACTAATGATTCTGATCAGTTCAGTGGTAGCAACTGTAGCTAAAGAGTTAGTAAAATTAACTCTTTAGCTACAGTTGCTACCACTGCATTCGCTATAAATATAATAAGCAGTAATGTTATCTACAAGTGGAAAAGCTGCAATAAGTGAATAAGTTTCATTTTTTACTTGCTTACTTGAAGGAAAGGCTTCCTCCTGCTAAGATGCTGATTTCTACACTGAGACAAAGAGCCAATAGTGACGATGTTCTAGATAACGACCAAACAAACAGGGAGCAGCGAGGATGGGGGAGGAAGGCTCACAGGAGGGAGGGCAGCATCAGCTAAAGCAGCAGAGTCACTTAGCCTCCTGCCAGCAGACCTGGTGCCAGTGTTTTGTCACAGGGACCCACCGCTGCTAGGCCTTGTCATTAGGCTGTGGCAACACAGCAGGAAGGATAAACAGCCATTACATCAATTACACCAGGACCTGGCCGCACACCGAGCGCCTCGTCCATGTTGTCCCCTCCGTCCTCCGGCCAGCCAACACCACGCCTTCGCTACCCCCCGCCTCAGGCAGGAAACGGAGCAGATAGAGCTGCGTTTCCTGACCAGTGAGTTCAGAAGGAGGCAAAAACAACTACAGTCATTTTTATATCAATACGTCCAATAAAACCAAGAGCAGTTTGAAAAAACATTAGTGTTTTAATAGTACTTAAGGGGTTAACTTCACACAAAGTCGTGGTTTTCATCATTTTTTTAGCAACAAAAATCTTAAAAGTGTGGTGTGTAATTATGCCTCCCACCATCACCAGTTGCTTAGTTAAGCTCCGTCAGGCTGATGGGGTCGGGGGTGCAGCTTACTTAGACTTAAAGTTACAAGACACCCTAAAACGTTCAATTCTGACTAAAATCTCATTATCTAAGAAAGATTTTGTGCCAAAAAATGTAATGGGCATGTTTTGTATAGGCCATAGACTCATCCTAAATGTTCAACTTTAACAATTAAAATGAAGCAAACGTCACTTCAACTCCTCCTGAGCCTGAAAACAAGCAAGAGTTCACTTCAAATACCTTTGTTTCCCTTTTTTATTATTTAGTATAATTTAACAAATAGGCCATGTAGCCGTGTGCGTGTGAGCCAGGTTTTTATATCCTTGTGGGGACCCGTTTCTGTCTACAATGTGGGGATCGCAGCTACTTGGTCTCCATGAGGGGAAATGCTACTTTTGGGTCAGGGGTCAGGTTTAGGGCCAAGGTGTGGATTAACTTTTGTTCAGGGTAAGGATGTGACAGTTAGAGGAAGGGTTAGGATGAAGAACATGAATGGAGGTCAATGTAAAATCCCCACAAGATACGAAAACACGACTGTGTGTGTGTGTTACCCTTCGGTTTAGAGCAGTCTTGCTGCCAACCTTGACTTGATCCTGGGCCAGGCTGATCATAGACACCCGTCTGTCCATGTCATCATGACACCCTGAAGGAAAACAATCAGAGAAACCGGTTAGCAGTTAGCCAAGCCTGCATTAATCTGCAGAAACAACCTGCTAGCTGCTGCTAGCTGCTGGGCGTACCGTCGGCCTCCCCGTTGGTGGGCGTGGCCATGCAGAGCTTCTTGGCGCGGCTGAGGCCTCTGCTGTTGAGGAAGACCGGCAGGTGGACGATGTTCCTCATGTAGTCGTGGCCGTTGATGTTGGAGTCTCTCAGGACGCTGTTCAGGTTCTGGTTGATGGCTTTGATGATGATGTGAGGGTCGCTGGCGAAGATGGAGATGAACGGACCCTTCGAGAAGAGAACCCGCACCTAAAGTAGAAAATAAAAGATCAATAAAATATTTTTCTGATACACTTTGAACTACAAACACCTAAAGAACTACACTTTTCTTCTTTCTCACATTTCATTTTGTTTCTGTTTGTTCACTTAGTCTCAACACCTGCATCTTATTCATAAATAAAAAGAACACTCCAAATGTTAATTTAAAAGATTAAACTGATTAATTGACAGAAAAACTAAGCCTTAATCAAGCATTTTCAAAGCCTTTAAGCACCTTTATGCACCTAAAACTTTAACATAAAAAAGAAGATGCATGTAATCAGGCAGCAGTGAACAGCTGGAGGCAGCAGTCAGCTGTGGCCTGTAAAGCTAATGACTCCTGTGAGAGCCGCCTGTCTGCAGCGCGAGGCCGGGGATTTCCTTTCTGCTCACTAAAGAACATTGTCTGGGAGTCACAGGACTTCAATTTCAGCTCCATGCATTCATGATTTGTTAAACTCTGACCAGCAACCTCAGGTTCAACCCGAGGGCAGAGAATCTATGCACCTAAAGCTCTTAAAGCTGCGATTTCCGCCATAAACACGCCGCGTCACATGACGTCTGCAGCTGAAACGCACCGACATGGTTTCTACGACGGGGGAAAGAAAGGAGTAAAAATCCCCCAATAACCTGCTCCTTTGTTTTTCTAGAATAGAATACGATCTCCAACAAGCTCAGAAAAAACATTGAAATGTTAAACTTTTAAACTCAGAAATGTTTTATTTCTAATGTTGATCTCAGCATTTCATGTAGCGAAATTTCTGGCTCAACTGTTCAATTGAGCTCTGGCAGTTTAGCAAAAATATATATTTTTTAACAAAAATATTATAATTTCTGTATAAATGGGGTTGTTAAATCATTGTAGATCAAAAACATTTTGTAAAAAGTGTCTCATATGTTTGAGTTATTAAAATAAAAGCCAAAAATCTCCAGACTGTTGATCTGTATTTAGCCCAGTTTAAGGAATGAATGCACCCAGGCTTCAGAGTAAAAGTCACCAGATGTTGGCAGTCTTGTTCACCAACACTGTGTTGTAACAAAAATATCCAAATTTAACAATATTATAATTTATGAGTGAAAATCTTGTCCCAAATTGGCACTTTTGGCAGATGAGCTAAGTTTTTCCTTGCACTGAACTTTCCAATAGCACTCTTCGTTTCAGAATATTTATGAGTGAATTACATAATTGATCACTGGTTTTATGTAATATTGAAGTATTTATTGGCTGTAAACCACCAGAACAATAAAAACCATTTAAATAAACGTCTGTTTGTGATGGATCTATAAAATGAGGTCAAGCCACTTGGTCTCATGTTTGTAATCGTCCTGGACAGCAGAGAGGAGGACGCCGCTCACCGTGTCCAGCATCTGCAGAACTCTGTCCTGTTCGCAGGCGTCCAGCCCGTCGATGATGACCGCCATGCGCGTTTGGTTCTGGGTGAAGCCGTCGATCGTTTTGGCCATTTTGGACATCATCTCCACTTCGTGCTTCAGGACCTGGCGAGAAACACGAGAAAAACTAATTCAGAGCAATTCAGCTCCAGTTCAGGTCTTCTGAACGGTGAAATATTTAAAGTGTCGACACAACCATCAAAACCTGAAGGCTCAATACATGGCTGCCGTTTTTCAAGATGGCCGTCATGCAGGCTTAGCTTCTGTAATGTTTTAATATGTTTAGCTGTTTAGCATTACCTTTTGCTATACATTTGGGTTTATTAAAACAAATAAAACAATTAGCTACTCCTATGTTTTATGTGTTTAGCGTTAGCTTCCACTTTTTTATGCAATTACTGGTTTCTGCTTGTGCTAATTTTTTGTTCTTAGCAGTTTAGCATTAGCTTCCTTATGTGTATTAGCACAGCTAAGATTCTTATTTAGCAAATTAGTGGTTAGTGAAGCTAGCATTTTGGTTAGCTGTGCTCACCACTGTCAATAAGTAGTGTTGATTGAACTGCAACCATATATTCTCTATAGAACCATGGCAGCCATTTTGAAAAATGTCCATCAGGAAAAGAAAACACAAGATGAAGAAGATATGTGTGGCTTTCTATGGTTCAAAATATGAAACCAAACATTAATCCAATTGGCCAAGAAAGCCATGGTAGCCATCTTTAAAAATCTAAAAGTTCTCAGTAAACATAATTTCTATGGGTCCAAATATATATGATTGGACACTAAAACTATTCATCTGGCTAATTTAGTGCAAAACTGAATTTTTTATCTTGAGAAATGTCTGGTTGAATTGGTCCAGTTGATGTCTTCACCTTCATAAACCCTTCGCTCTTCAGCTTATGCAGGTTGTTGGCGGCGCCATGCAGCCGCTTCCTCTGGGAGTTGAGGACGGAGTCGGCCACCTGCCACCAGGTCCGGAAGTTGATCAGCAAGGCCAGTCCGACCACGCTGGCCATCGCTATCAGCACTGCGTTTACCGTCAGGTTTTCAGAGTCCACCTAATGGAAAAACAACAACAACCACATTAAAAAAGCTCCAAACTCCAGAATTTTATATGATTTTTATCGCTTAACTTACCCTAAAGATGGATAACAGCACCACGCCGGTGATCAGGCATCCCAGCGTCAGCGAAACAAACACGAAGGACGGCAGGCAGCAGGTTTTCTTCCATTTCTGACCTGAAGTTTTGGAACACAAACACTGATTTTAGAGAAACAGATGGAAATTTATCACTTTAAAACAACTATTCTGCGTTTGTTTATTTTATGTCACAGATCAACACAAAGCGGTTCATAACTGGGAGGAAGAGGGAAGGATTTCAGCAAGTTTTAGACGCTTATGATCTGAATTTGAAGCATTTAAAATGATTTATTTTATTATTCAACACCAATAAAAGGCTGAGGACTGTGCTCAGCCCCATTTACTCTGTTACCCATAAATACTTCACCCTTAATTCAGCAGTCAATTGACTTTGCAGATAATAAAGCAAAGATTAGACATTTTTATTTTATAAGTTTCTTTTTTATAAGTCAAACTTGAAAGTTAAAATTTAAGTTTGTGAAATTTGAAAGGTTTTATTTCTCATCTGACAAAAGAAAAGGTTTGTAAAAACGATTTTTGAACTGTACTGCATTTTAAGCAAAAAATGTTTTCTTACTTAAAAAAGGACATTAGGATTTTCCCTTTCATATGTTTATTTTACTAGCTAAAATAGCTACGACACAACGGGAGAATTTTTATTCCATTACTTGATTAATTACCAGAATAATTGATAAATTACTAAAATAATTGTTTACAGAGGCCCTAACTGATCACAGTAATGAGAGCAACGGTCTTCAGTCAGAGGCCTCTTCAGATATGATGTGAGACTGACTGCTACTGGAGTCTCAGTATCACAGCATCACCTTCTGACCTTTTTGACACGTTGTGGAGAAATTTAAATATAAGATTTGGAAACCATCTGATATTTGCTCTAAGAATGTTCATCTGCTGTAGAAGCTTTTCAGCGGCGGCGGCGACAGCTAAGGCAGCCATGTTACCTTTGATCTCATCGTTCATGAAAACCCGGAACAACCTGGTGGCCAAGAAGCCGAACTCCACCTCGCAGGCGTCCGACAGCGTGGCGATCATTTCAGCCAAAGACGTCTCCCCTCCGACGCTGGACAGGCGGTTATAGTCCGTGAACAAGAACCTGTCAAAGACAAGAATAAAGGTCTTAGCGATGAGGCATCTCTAGTTTTAAAGATCCACCATTTTTTTCTATTTTTAGGACTTAAAATAAAAAGAAAATATTTAGCAAAAACAGGATGAAATTTTTTTGTATGTGACAGAAAATTTATTGCATTTATATACATTTATCATCTCAAAAAAATCCAGATTATTTTTAAAGACAGATTACATTCTGTGCATTTGAGAAGTTGAGATGGTTTATCAGATTAATGGTGATTAATTGATTATCTAAATTATTCATTATCAATTAATAGTTAACTTGAGTATAAATGTTTATTTCCTTCATTTCTTGAGGGACAGCTGTGTTTAGAGAACCTTCATAATTCATTTTATTTGTTGTTACCGTTTTATTTACAATATTTAAAATAATTGATGGTTGCTTTCCTATTGTCAAAGAACTCAAGAGTTGAACCTTTTACTTTCTTTGACAGAGGAATTAAATATGTAAAGGTCTTTCCGTAACTGTCCGGAATGTTCCGGAGACTCTGGTTTCCATGGCGATCACCTGACAGGCAGGGCTCGGGCGGTTTGCTCTGGAAGATCCAGCGGGTTCACGAACATGAGCTTGAGCAGCAGCTCCATGTAGCCGATCTGGCGGGCCAGACGGGTGCTGATGACCCAGGCCCAGTGCCAGGTCTCCTTCTCACGCCGGCTCCCGAAGTACACCAGCACTGAGCAAAGACACAAGCAAGGCCAGCATGATAAATGCACACACAGGTGGGAAATGCGCTTTATGTTGTAAAAGTTAGGAAAAACTAAGAGCTGCCATCACCAGGCATACAGCACCCTCTAGTGACCATTTCTAATAAGACTTTATTAAGATCAAATAACACAAAATGTTAGTGAAACAGTGAAAAACAGTGAAGTTTGTGGCTGTGGTGCAAGTTCAGGAAACTGCAATGGCATTTTTCCTCTCGTTTGTTTCCTCACCAAAGAAGGTGTAGAGCAGAGCGAGGAGGCTGAGGGAGACGGCGATGGCCAGCCTGGGGTCGACGGTGAAGCCCAGGATGATGGCGACTGAGCCGCAGAGGAGCAGCGTGAGGAAAACCACCAGCCAGGAGAACTGGAACAGCGGTTCGATCTGCTGCCCTGCAAAGGTCTTCATCTCATCTGATGAACACAAGGACAGAAAAAAACACAAAACCAGTTACTAAACTCCGAAATGATTCATCGTTATCAATCGATTATTGATCTAATCATCAACTAAAAAAAGTTTAAAGAGGTTACATGAGCAATCAGCAGAATGCGCCCATTTTTTAATCCGATTAATCGACTAATCATCAGAATAGTCGATTAATCTGTAACTAAAATAATCACTAGTTGCAGCCCTGCATGTCTGTGGAGAGAAATGGTAGGAAAAGTCACTTCCTTTTCTCACCCTCCAGCTTTTTGAGGAGGAAGGACTTGCCGCTGCCCCACTGGGCGTACAGACCAACACAGATGGGCGGCTGCATGGTGGGCTCACTGAGGATGTCCGCCAGAGCGCTGCTGTACAGGTCGTAGCCCAGCATGTCGCCGTCCGTCTCCGTTGGGGAAAGGTGCTCTGTGAAAAGACGAAGAGCCTCTGAGTAAACGTAAACGTTTTCCAACAGCAGCACTGAATCTGGAGACGTGGCTCATACTGGCTCCAAATATCTGCGTCAGGATGCTTTTCTGGTGGGTGCAGTCGATGTTGTACGGCGTCTCTCCAGCTTTGTTGGGCCGGTACAGGAGGCGGCCATCTTTTGGGTTCCTGAGCAGCAGCTCGGCCAGCTTTCGGCTGCGCCCGCGGATCGCGATGTGCAGGGCGGTGTCCCCTTTCTAAAAGAAAACATGCTTACAGCTGAGCAGAAAGACCGGCGGCGGTTCAGGGTGTGCAGAGCCGTACCCGGTCCACTGCAGACACTTTGGCTCCTTTATCCAGCAGCAGCTCCACGATGTCGATGCTCCTCATTTTAGTGGCTTTAATAAGCGGCGTCTCTCCGTCCTGGAAGGCAAACAGAACATGCAGTTTATACCTAATGGGTTTCAGCTTCTGGAGGAAAGGAAATTTATGCATCTACAGCATAAAGATTGTTTTAACTCCACAAAGAGGAAATACGTATAGTCACACTTATTACTTTTGCCCTGACGTCACGTCTCACATTTTATTCATATTTAAAGGTCAACTGCAGTAAGTTGTACAACTTATTGTTGTTATTATGACTTTATTAAAGCAGGAGACATTCAGACTCCAGTAAATATCAAGGCAGATACGAGTGTGATGGAGAATGTTAAACTCATGATTTTACTCCAGAATGTTGCTCCGTTGGGTTTCTAAGTTGTGGTTTTTAAACTTCATTCATAATGCGCGTACCTTGGTGCAGCTCTCCGTGTCAGGATTGCACTGCAGGATGTCCCTCACCATGGCAGCGTTTCCTTTCTCCACTGCCCAGTAGAGGGCAGTCTTTCCATCCTAGAGTGGCAAGAACAAATACTCCTGCTATTAAATAAAAAATACACTTACCATGGAGAGGGGTGTATTATTACAGGTGAATATTTATCTTTGTGCAATTCTAATCCAAGGAAGAAAGTTTAAAACAATAAAGAAAGACAATATAAACGGACAGAGTTGCATTTCCCACAGAGAACCCATGGAGGGAGGAACGGCCCCTACCTGGCCCCTCACGTCGACATCAGCATATTTGTTGAGCAGAGCTCGGACGATCTCCACATGTCCTCCTCTCACCGCTCCGATCAGCACCGTCTCTCCACTCTGGAACAGAAACATGGCAGACAGCGTTATGCATCGTGAGGAGCCGCCGCGTCGGAGCGTCCCGCCACATCAGAGCATCCCGCCGCGTCTCACCCGGTCGGGGTTGTTGACGTAGGTGCCGGCGTCCAGCAGGTCCTGAACGATCTCCGTGTGGCCCTCCTTGGCGGCGATGGCGAGCGCCGTGTTGCCGTCCTTATCGGTCATGTTGACGTTGGGATTCCTCTTCAGCAGCTCTTTGACGACGTCCGTGTGTCCGCCTTTCACCGCCACGATCAGAGCCGTCATGGAGTTCTGGCGAAACAGGAAAACAGAGATTTCTGAACTCAAACATTTTACCAGATTCTTCCTGCCTCCTCTTTTCAGAGTTTACAATATAAAAGTCTCTCTGCAACAGTCAGTTGTGTTAATCCATCTGATTATTGATGGAACTTTATAAGAAATATTTTATTTTTTTACATATTTGCTGAAACCGTCATGTGGTGTCAGAATATTTTCAGAAATTGATCTCTGCTTTCTCCCAGTGCCAATGAGAAACAACCAATCAGAATCTTAAAAATCTCATCTGCAACAATCTGCAGCTAATTTACCCTGTTGTGATGCTAATGCTAGTTAGCATTTCCACCAATGACGGATAAACTGTTTTCCTGCTACAGTACCTTGTTTCTCTTCCATTAACACATTTAGCAGCGTGTACATGAGGATGATTGACGGTGCAAAGACCTTCTTCCTGGCTCTGATTGGTTGTTTTCCAGCCACCTGGTGGCCATTTTATAGCATAATCAAGTAACTATGTTTCCTTCAGTTGTTAAAGAAATCCTATAAAAATATGAGAAATTTTACTTTGAAATTTAACACCTTCAAATTGGTCCTCTGTCTCTTTAAGAAGCTCCACCTTCAGGAAGTCATCCCAACATGGCTCCTTCATTAACCCTTTAACAACATTTTCACTGAGCAGTAGCTCCTATAATGAGCTCAGCAGAAGTTTGCTATTGGCTACAGGCTAGTCTGAAGGAGTAGAGTGGGGGAGGAGCGGCGCCTCGAAGGTGGAGCTTGGTCCACCCAGGCGTTTTGCCCAGCTGAATGGTTGCCATGGAGATTAAAGGACTTCCTAATATGCATGAAACAATGAGGCAACACCCCAGGTGTGTTTTTCATGAAGGAGAAACATCATAGCAAGATGGAAAGCTCAAAAAAGTCGATTTTACATAAACCTGTACATAAGGGTAAGTTTAGGGCCAGCGGCTACTTTCCTGTTTGACAGTTTAGTTTCTTTGTTGTGCCGTATTCATAGCCCAGTGAAACAGGAAGTCACTGATTACTAATGAAACGTTTATAACTCTAATCAAATTAAAGAATAAATTATAAATAACTGAGTAACACTTGTGCTTTGGGTGCAATTTAATTTTGACAACGCTGATTTGTTAAAAATAACTTCTTTAAATGTTTACGTGAAAGCTTGGATTTGCTTTTTAGTTGTTAATCGTGACCGATGTGAGTAAAACATGACGGCGATGAATGGAAACGACTCACTGCTCCTTCCTGATCCACATCAGCTCCGTTGGCCAGCAGGTGCATCACGCTGTCGTAGTTTCCCTTCCTGGAGGCCCAGATCAACGGCGTGGTGCCGTACTGGAATAAATGCATTACAATACATAAAGGAAGAGATCGCCGAGATAAAGTGGTTGTCTCTGCCCTGTGTGGGTCTGAAACAGAGATAAACATCTGCGAGGCGTTGGCTACCTTGTCTGAGCAGTTGACCTTCGCTCCATACTGCAGCAGGAGATGGACGATCTCTGCATGGCCGCGGCCCGCCGCCCAGATGATCGGGTAGACGCTGTACTGTTGGGCCGGAGCAGAGCTGATGTCACCAAAACTAACGACCAGCGCCAAACAAATGGTTGCAGCTGCTTTAAGCAGCAGGAGGAGGAAAAACTATAGTCTGTAGTTGTGTTTACAGTACGGCTGAAACGATTAATCGATTGTTGAAACTGGTTTAGTAATCGATTAATCGCTAACTGGAGCACACAGACTCGGAAAACAGTCCAAGAAATATTAATATTTTGCATCTTAGATAAAAACACCTTGGTCTACAAATATGATCCACGCAGAATGCTTTAATTTTGATACACAATTATTAATCTGTTTATAAAAAAATAAAATAATCAACCCTAGACTGTATTGATGTTAAATGAAGCAGAAAGAGCCGAACGTTTAACATCATTTACAGTATTTATTATCTGTGGAAGCATTCACTAAGTGAACAAATGTCACATTTTAGGCAACAAAATGTTTTCATTTTACAAAGAAATTGTTTATTTGAATCTCTTACAGTAATTCTACTTAAGTGGTTAATGAAAAATATGGAGAACGTCAATTATTAAAGTAATTATTAGTTGCAGCCCTAATCTAATTATGCTCTATAAACTGCTTATAAGAAAGAGAAAAGTCATGCTGGTTGCTGTATAAAATAAGGAATAATTGGTTTATAAAACATCTGCAGAATGTGATTTTCCATTAATCGATTAATCACAAACTAAAATAATCGTCAGTGTTTCTGAGTTCCACCTTTGTAAAAATGTACACATCTGATGAACTCATTTTGTGCATCAAAACAATCCCTGTAAAGCAGAGTTTATGTCTTTAATGTGATAAATAAGCTGATAATTTTCGTTTTCGGCACCTGCCCAGTGATGTTGGGATTGGCTTCTCTCTCCAGCAGCAGCCGGGCCACCTCCGTCCGGCCCTTATAGGCGGCCCACATGAGCGCTGTCCAGCCTCCCTGAGCGGCAAAATCCAGACACATCAGCACAGGAAGCAACGGCAAACAAAAGAACCAGAATTAGAGCATTGAAACAACAGAAGAGTTCAACCACACCACATCTCTGTTTTGCGGATTAGACCAAATTCAGGCAGACTGCTGCTATTTCTGGACAGTGACACACTTTCAGGTGAAACACAATGTGGTTTATTTTAATCCAGCCGGCTCTCCTGACACATCTTCAACTGCACATGAGTCAACTCCCTTCCTGTTTATTATTTATCTACCATTAGTTCTGTTTTAATGTCGTTCTGAATGCATTAAAAGCCACCAAAGCGCAGAAACGGCGTGTGAAGGAGAGGCTGGATGAAAATTAAAAACTCTGGTGCAGTTCAGGAAGCAGCAACTGTCTGGGTTTCCTTATCTCAGAAACAAACATCAGAGCCAAGGCAGCCGGATTTAAGTGGATGGATTTTCTATTAGACAGGAGAACAGAAACTAATCTGATTTCATGTCCATTTTGAAGAAAGTGAATTAGGTTGTTCAGGCATAACTGAGGCGCCACGTCCAACAGAAGAGGGAATATCATGCTCCCAAAACATGTCAGAATTTAGGTCCATTTTAATCAATATTTAGCTCTTGCTTTCTAAAAAATGTACTGATATAGAGATTTTATCATAAGTACTTCAATTTATTTTTCAAGATGGACGCCGCCTGTGAGCCTTTTAAAATGATTATTGACAGAATGTTACCCATTTTCACGACCTGAATGAACTTTGTCTCATCACATTTTTGACTTTTTCCATCATATTTATACAACTTTAAATAATAAAATGTTTCAAAATCGTCAAAAAAAGAGTCTCACACCAGCTCAGAGACTGAGAGACAATCGTCTTAATGGTTAGCGTTAGCCTCCTCTATCTTTTTAACGTGTTTAGCGGTTTAGCGTTAGCATAGCTAAAATTCTTGTTTAGCAAATTAGCGGTTAGTGTAGCTAAGTTTTTGGCTAGCTGTGCTCACCACTGGTGAAATATAAAGCTGGTTTTAGTGCATAATACGAGTCATAATATTACAAGAATAAAGTTGTACGACAATAAAGATTTTAATATTACAAAAATAGTATAGTTGTAATACAAGAATAAAGTTATTTTTATTTTGGTCCATAAAATACAAAACTTTACTACATTAGTCCACCTGATGAAGCAGTTTTTAAATATTAAAAGATTGTCTTCATCAGTTAAGTACTTTCTTACTTTTACTTGAGTAATTACGTTTCACTTTTGATTAAATTTGGCGTTTTAGATTCTCCTCACCATGTCTCGGTGCTCCAGGTTGGCGCCGTTCTCCAGCAGTTCCCTCACCACCTCCAGGTGTCCCTCCTTAGCGGCGGAGATCAGCGCCGTCCAGCAGTCCTGCACACAGCGCCAAGCCGTTACTCTGACGGACCCGGACCCAGCTCCGGACCCGGCCAGATGCCGATACCTACCAGCTGGTCGTACCAGGTGCTCATGGAAACCCGGTGCCGCATCGCGACTCAGTCAGACAGAAACGCAAACAGAGAAACGACCAGAACCTTTCTGTTCTCCTGCTGTAAGCTGGAGTGATCTGGTGTAATGGCAGGTCAGGAGACGGTAGTGTGTGTGTGTGTGTGTGTGTGTGAGACAGAGAGAGTAAATGAGTGAGTTGGAGTGTGAAGGGTGTCGGCTGGTGAACCGATGACTTCAGCTGTAATGAGAGGTCATGGTGGCTCATAATAACCGACTGGTGACATCATCAAACATCAGAGCAGGTTGTTTTCCACTCGCCGCTATGCCATCAACAGGTGTGTGTGTGTGTGTGTGTGTGTGTGTGTGTGTCACCGTGTGTGTGTCATGCTCACCACGTCGTCCATGTTGACGGTGGCGCCCCTCCGAATCAGTTCCTCCACGATCTCCAGGCTGCCCAGCTCTGCTGCCACCATCAGCGGCGTCTGTCCGCTCTGCAAACAGAAACGCCGGGTTTTAACACCGATACGAAAAAAATAATTTAAACAAACACTGAAATCAAGTCCTGAATCCAAGCATATTCATGGAAAGTTTGGTGGAGGGAAAAGGGTTCTGAAGCGCCCTTCGGCTAATGAGTTTGGAGGATACTGCACTCTGTTCCTGGTCTGGGCTCCTTTTGCATGAATTACTGCAACAGTGCAGCGCATGGAAGAGATCAGTTCATATTTCGATGTCTTATTTTAATTTTAATTTTTATTTAATTTTTTAAATGACAATATATCAACTACTTATTTTCAGTAATTCAACTCAGAAATTTAAATTTAATAATTGAAGTTTCTTTAAATTTAAAAGCAAATGTAAATTTAATTTCAATTTAAAGACTTTTTTTTTTTTAGTCTTCAAATTTGAATAATTTAAATTCTCAAAAATTCTAAGAATGTTTTTTTTTTAGAATTCTTTAAATTCTTGACATTTACATCTAGAATTTAAAACCTAATTTAAATTCTTTGGGATCTAATTTATTCCTGGTAGCGTAGCGCCGGAGTAAACTGGAACCCAAACGGCCCGGCCAGTGGTTCTGACTCACGTCGCTCCTGCAGTCCACGTCTCTGAACTTGTCCAGGTGAGTCCTGATGGCGTCCAGGTTGTCCTCCTCCACGTAGCTGAACAGACTCTGGACCACCAGAGAGGTCATCTTCAGGGAGGTGGTGGTTTCCATGGCGACCGGCTAAACTCCTGAAACAGGATTGGATCCAAGTGAAGCTAAAAACGCCACTGGAGAAATTCTGTACAAAGAAGGTTTTTTTTACTTAAAACCAAATTTTTTTATTATGCTAATATGTTGTTCTTAAAGCAAATTGGCTTTTAATGGATCACCAAATTAGTTGACGATCATTTCAGTAATCGATTAATCTGATTAATCGATTCAGCCCCGACAAAAAAAAGAAAACAGTTACTGAATCTTTTTTTATAGTTTTTTCAAAGTCAGAACTGCAGTCCAGAAGTATTCATACCTCTTAAACTTTCTCACAAGAAGACTAAAGACAGGCCTTTAGCTTGAGGACTTCTGCAGCTGGTTGCACCGATTTATTTATTTAGGGGTGTCCGTGTACAGGTCAATGCTACACTTTTAATTGTTTTGTGTCATTTTATCACAAAAAAATCCCCCCAAAATACAGACAAAAGTGTGACAAAATGTGGATAAACTCATGAGGATATGAATACTTTTTCAAGAATCCACAGTAAAAACAATTAAAGTAGTTGAAACATGGAAACTTCTGTGAAAAGAAAGCATGAATACCCATAAATCCCTCATTAGCATTAGCAGCGCGCTAATAGGAGTTCGTTAGCTCTTCTGCTTGGTTGAGGCGGTCTGCTCATTTAACGAAGCCCCATTAAAGAAAACCAAACGAGCCAAAAGTCAAACAACAGACTCCAAACTTTGGTATTCAGATGCAGCCGGCGCGGTCGACCGCGTGCAGCCAGAAGTGGGTCGCACTGAACTTTGTCTTCAGGAAAGAAACAAAACTACAACTGCTACAAGCCTGGGCAACAATTTACTGAGCAGACAGAGAAAAGTAGCAGCAGGGTTGTTACTGAAAAATAAAAACAAAACTCGCTTCAGGGATTTCATCTGCAGCAGCTGATGAGTCTTTAACTAAACCAGGAGAAGAAAAACAACCATCTAATCATCTTCAGTAGAAACTTTTCCTCCTTCCTGAAAAGAAAAGAAGCCCAGCTGCTTTCTACCCGAGCCATTTATTGTTGAGCCATTTATGAACCGTTCAGACTAACGACACAAAAAAGATACAATCAGAGCTCAGATGAGTTTGTTACCCTGTGAAAATAACTCCAGAGTAGTTTTAAAAGGTTTAAATCTATTATTTTCCTTCTTACGGAAAGTTTCTGTTTACGTCTTAGAAGGTATGGAAGCCCATGTTTGACCTGTTTTGCTTTTGCATTTATAGAAAAAGATATAAAACTTTAGATATGAACATGCATGGAACAACCTTAAAAACTTTATACTGTAGCAAAGAGACTTTCAGTATTCAAGATGCCGCAGGAACTGGCTGGTACATGACTGCGAGGAAACGCTAAAGAAAAAGTTCCTGCATGTCCCTTATGGGGCTCCGTAGAAAATTAATGAAAATGCCAAAATGTGAAATAATTGAATCAATTTTGCAAAAATGTTTTTTACGATTGTTTGAGGTGATTCTTTGGTTTTCCGAAAAAGTACTTTATCATCACGACTTTTTTCTCATGCAACTTTTTGCCTGAAATTTGTTAAATTTTTTCTTAGCTGAATAATATTCTGTGGTAAAATGCAGAATAATTTCTGACATACAGAATTTTTACGTTACTACAGCCATGCGTAGCATCAACCGCTGACGTAATCACGCTTAGCGCAGCCTGGTCGGTTCGCTCCAAACCAGATGGAAACACAGAAAATTCACTTTTTTATTTTTGGTGAAGTTTTAAAAGTTTTCCCAAAATTTGTGTGATTGTTTGATGGAAATCAGCAACTAAACAGCTGATGCAGATACAAGTAAAAAAAAAATTATGGTACAATTTTCAGTGTTTCCTCAATGTTAACACCTTCTATCAAGCATGTCTTTTGCTTTTCATTTATTTTAACAGCAAACAGGACCACAAACATCCAGTACTTTTTTCTAAAAAATAAATAAATTGCCGCAGCGATTTAATAAACTTGGGTAAATAAATCAAAAATAATCCATATCCTGTTCTTGTTACTGAAAAAAAAAACACACAAAAAAGCTAGAAAAAAATTTTATCTGAAAAGGTTTATAGATCATTTTTCTACAAAAATGAGATTATTCTCAAATTTTGCACAGGAAATAAGAAAAAATTTGTATGTTTTTGCTGTTTTAATTGTAAACATAAATAAAAACTTTGTGGCCCATCAGAAACAGCTGAAAATCTCAACCAGCTCATAAAGTGTATTTTTATACATTTTATATGTTACAAACTCAGAAAAAGAAAGAAATCAGAAATGAAAACCTCAATCAAAATTCATTTTTATGCTTTTAAATTGTTTTTGATTGCTTTTTACTTTTAAGATTTCAGACGTTTTATCCCAGATCCATCAATGAATCTACCGTTCTGTGCTGTAGTTGGATCGATAAACGGCTCATTAATGATTCATGAAGTTCTGCCCATCCTCCAGAATCAGACTCACTTCCTGCACAGAGAGCATCTGAATTAATGAGCCTCATTCTGAGGGTTTCACCAAACAACCAGCAGGATTTCCTGCCGTAATCCTGCTCAGGTTAACGCTCCCTCACACGCAGAGTCACATGGCCGTCGGTACAAAGGCCCCAACAGTTCAGCCAAATTCAGAACCGATCAATCCTTATCTGCAGAACAAACTGTTTTCTCTTCTCCTCCACTCAGCGATCACCTGCCAGCTGCTTCCCAGATCCCAATGAGGAGAATAGAAACAGAGGAAAGTCTTTGTTTACGGTGACGGCAGCCTGTTGACACGCCCTCCTCTTCCTCATCTCTCCCAGCACAATGGATGGGTCACCATGCCAACTACAAACAAGCTTCTCAAACTACTGAACAAGATGAAATCTCAGATAATTACAGCCTTACCTGTGTGGATGGGTAAAGTTACCAGTTCAAGATCAAATCTGACTTCCTGCCCAGTTCAGCCAGCAGTGGCGGCTCACGCTCAGCATCCCCCGCTTTAAGTAGCGGCTGAATATTTGATGAGGGGCTGGAGGCACGCCCAGCTCTTCCCGACACAATAGAGACTCCCGTCCTGTCCAAGAAACGCTTCAAACTGCAGCTACTGACCATTTCAGGCAATCTGCCCATTTTACCGATTATTCTGTCAATTAAGCGGATAACAAAATTGGCACATTCTGCAGGTTTTCATTAAGTAATAAAATAGTTTAGTTTAGTTCATTTAATGGAATTAAATACAAAAAAATAATAATAGTGCAGAAGAGGCAAAAGCCCAACTGTCTTACCAACCAAACAGGACAGAAAAAATAATATAATCCAAGAATAAAACTAACTGATCATACATTTAGGAATCATACAAACATCTACAAAGTATTGATGGAAAGTTAAAACATGTATTCATGAAACAATTTATTGTCTAAAATGAAACAACGGCATTCCTTTGGTGAACATTTGATGATTTGTAGCAAAAGATGCATCTGCAGCTACAACAATGTGAAACAGTTCCTGTCTGATTTCACATCAGCGTCGAGCTGATTTACCAATAACTGGATCAGAAAATGTGATTAATAGGAAATCTTATTTACAGAATTTAAACCATGTGAAGCTAAAAATGGAGTTCAGGGTGGAAAATATTTACAAAGAAGGTTGTTCACCTTAAATTAAATATATTTTTTACAGTTTTGGGTTTGCTCTGATTGTGTTATTCTTTTAGAAAATTAGCATTTTTTTGAGTTTGTAAACTCCAGTTAACGATTAACCGATTCCTAAAGTAGTTATCGATTATTTGAATAATTGATTAATCACGATTAATTGATTCCATCATACTTTAAACCCCAGGTGATTCAGATGAAACACGACTTTTAAATTATTCTAAATTCCAGTTTAGAATATCAGAAATTTGGGTTTTTGGTCCTTCATTCATAATCAAACTTCCTTGTGAACAGCAGAAGAAGAACGTCACAGACTGCTTTCATAATTTACATCCAGATTTCCTGTCTGGCTTCTTCTGGTGCAGAATTACGGCGCATGTCTCAAGTCAACGACGTAAAAGTCAAATAAATGCAGTATGACTGTTCAGACGGCAAACACAATGAGAACTGTCAGATTTTGGTCCACATATGGAAGTGGAACAGGTTGTACTTTTTTGGGTGAAAAGGTCAGAGCAGCAGTTCAGATGACTGTAAAACGTAGAAAAATGAACTAAAACAGTGATTTGATTACATCACAGTCAACTGGAAATAAGACAACCTGAAGCTCACTGACTCAGCTATAAATAGATTTTAAAAAATGGAAAATGTTCTTGTTAAAGTATTACACATGACTTGAACTTTAAACTCGGATCTGGATTTGGCCTTAAGGGTCAAATAAGATTTTAAAACTTCAGTTTAGGGCATTTTTTCCCCATCTGTGTTTCAAAGAGAATTGCATAGACATGTATGATCTACACTCACTGACAGATTATCACAAGGCAGAATGAACTGGAGAAAAAATTATGCCATTGAATTTTTTTAGAAATGAAAACCTGGAAAATTTGAGCTGGAGTTGTATTCAACCTTCCAACAGGACAATCATCCTAAACATACAGACAGAGACTTTATGAGATGGTAAGGCATATTAATGTGGAGGAATAGGAACGGCCCAGTCAAAGTAAGAACCTGAAAATAATGTGCTGTAAGGTGGTTGGACCAAGACAAAATGTGAATAAGGTCAATGGGTGTGAAAATATGTTGCAGGTTTTATCTGGAGTGCAAACAAGATAACAAATCAGTATATATGAACAGAAAAAACTGAAATTATGTCCAGTTCAGCTTAAATAAGGGCAGGCAACACTGGATATGATTTCTAAATTTAACCAGCAGTCAGCTCTTTATGGCAAGTCATGTGGGCACGAAACCGCTGAGGATTCAGTTCCTTGCTACATACCAGCCTGCGGGTCAACTACAAACACAAACATTACATTATTACATTTATTTAATTTAGTTTAGCTGTGATGAAACTGGTTACTTCAACAGGATATTAACACATAAACCAGCGCTGCGAAACTGACAAACTAAAAGTAGGTGCAACGAGTTACCATCGTAACAGGAGGCTTAGAGATTATTATTAAAGTTTATGTTGTGTTTCCAGACAACATTAGCCAGGGTTCCCTCTCTGACAGCGGCTCTGGAGGTCGTCAAACATCTGTCAGGCAGCTAACATATGGCTGGCCCCTTACAGCGACTAAAAACGACCCAACGGCGAAGCTTTTAACAGGGGTGTTACAAACACAGTGGTCACCCCGTTGTTTGCGTAGCAGGAAGTAACAACTTTAGCTAAAAGTGACAAGAAAGGCAAACAGAAGCTAGCTATCCAACAGGTTACAACTGTTTTTAATATTTAATGAGCTTTAAAATCAACTAAACTCACCAAACAATGATTTTCTTACCTGCACACGGCTGCTCACTTCCCGCCTTTCAAGTTATTCCTGCTGGCTGAATCCAGCTAAATGTTATTTTTTCTTAATTAAGACATGTTTGGTCAGAAGACAGTTAAACTGTAACCTGCTACTGAACCAGAAATGTGACGGAGGCTCCGCCTCGTTCCTCTTGCTTTGTTTACAGAGGCGGAACCTTCGGCTTTACACCGGAGCCCCCACCTCACTGCCACTGCCCCGCGGTTATGCCGCCTTCGGTTTACCTCGGAACGCGGACCTGGGAATGACGTCACACCCGAGTTAACAGCGGTTAGTCGGAGAAGGAGGAATAAAAGAAAAAGAAGGAGGAATTACAAAATGGCCCTGCCCCAGCAGCCACTGTTTGAAATCAATTTTAAGATTGGGAAGTAGGTTTTAAACCTACTGTCCAACAGACTTCTCGTCCGGGCTAAGAAAAAAACAAGAATAAAAACATAATATTATGAGAATTAGGTTGTACAAGGATAAATACTCATATTACAACAATAAAGATAAAATTTTACCAGAAGGAAGCTGTGCCATTACAAGAAAAAGCTTAAAAAAGCAAAGCAGTTTCTGTTTCTGACAAGACTACCTGTCATGACTGGATTTTTTTTTTTTTTTGTAAAGTGCCCAGAGATATTTGTTGGGCATTGATTATATACCGGTAAATAAACTGAATTTGATTTAATTATTCTTCCTGGAGTATTCTCATTACCTCCTTTTCCAAATATATGACCTTATTTTGGAAATACAACTCAATTCTAGAATTATGACTTTTTTTCCTCATATATTTATGAATTTATTCTTGTAGATCTTTTTTCTTGCAATGACTTTTAGCTTTGCTGTAGTGCTCTAACACATTATTTTAAATTTTTTCAGCTTAGAGTTGCAGGCACTACATGTAGCATGATAACCACAGGGTAGGGGCGGCTGTCTTGGATCTCGCAGTTTGTGTGAGAAAACTTCTCAAACAAACTTTCAAAAGGGAAGTTCAGCCAATTTTCTCAGAGTTCTACAAACACAACGCAGTTATTTGCAGTTTTACATTTTACAGAAAACATTCCTGTTAATATTTACATGATTTTATTTTCATATATTGTAAATAGTCTGTTTTTAATGCACATTTTGAACAAAAGATGGATGCATGTCTAATTAAAAACTGATATTTTTCCTCACTAGAAAAAAAAAAAAAACATTTCCACATCAAACAGGTTTAGTGTTTAAAAATAATTTCTCTTTATTTCGCCACATCAGAATGTACTCCACTGTTATACAAATAGTTTGATAAATTTCCTTCTGACACAAAAATACCCATTATGTTAGTCTGGCGCGCAAACACACACACACACATACACCCCTACACACATTCTCTAAAACAAGATGCGCTGTTTCTGATTTGGCACTTTGGACGTATGGAGCCGTTTGCATTGATCTGCTGGTATGTGTGGCCATGCAGTGCTGCAGCGCTGCAGCCGCTGCGTTTGTAGCGACGGCGTCTCTCCTCTCGCCGGTGGGCTACAGAACATAGGTTCCTTTGAAAACACGATCAACATCGACAGACCACAGGAAATGGTAAACACACAGAGTTATGGCAGGAACATGGAAATGTTAGAGAAAAAAACCCACAAACAGATCCACACTGAAAGACTTCACTTCTGCTGCTTTGTAGCTTTTAAATAATCCGTAACTTTAAAGAAGAATAACAGGAACCATCAGTTTCAATCTCTTTTATATTATTTTAACAGAAATACCTCCTGAAACAGAACCAACATCATATCAGAAATCTGGAAGGCTTCAGATGAAGATGCAGCAAAAACAGCAAAAGGAAACAGTGTCTCATTCACCCTACAGTAAAATGCACCCTGACCCGAACATTAGACGCTCACAATATAAAAATAAAACCGTTCACGGCACCGGCTGGCTCTGGACTCCAGAGGTCACATCATGTTTTAATAAAAAATATCACATTTCCTCAGAGATTTATGCATTTAGCACACCAACACATTAATCCAATTAGATTGCGGTTAGATTTTTAAGATAAAAAGCTAAACAATCAAAAAATTGATGGAAATAACACAGTTAAAGTTTAACTTTTTTTTTTTACATTTCACCATGTTACATTTAGAAACTCTGGGATATTTTAATGGGATGTCCTTTGATGAGGCAACATAAAGTAGTGAATAACCATGAAGTGGAATAAACTGCGTCATTTCTTAAAGTGTTAAACCAGACAAGGAGAACATCCAATGAAGAACATGTGTTGGAATGGCCTAGTCAAAGTCTGAAATTAACTGGAATTGAGAATCTGGGGCATGACTTGGACAACAGTTTGAGTTTATAATAGGCTGGTAGAGACTCAACAAAAGGTGAATTACTGACTCAGGCAGGCAGAATAATACAACGGAGGATTAGGAATAAAACCAAAAATGGGAGGAGGTCATGTGATTAATTTAACTTAAAATAAAAAAAATTGTTTTTTTATGTTAGAAAGTTGCAACTTTGTGAGAAAAAATTGATGATTTTCTATGATTAAAGTCATAAAACGACTGATTTTAGAACTGAACTCGAGCAGCAGGCCGTTTTTAATGGGTTCCCAGCCCGACCCAGAGAGGTAAGTGGTACATCTGGGCTCTTTGCCCGTGTCAGCTCGACATTTTCCAGGTCCAGAATCCCCGTGAACGCCTCGATCAGGATGCAGGAAACCAGAGAGGAAGAAGCTGCAACATCCTGGACCCAGAAGATGTTCTGATGCAGATCAAACTCTGAGCTTGTCGGGTTTGGAACCTGTTAAAAACTGCCTGCTGTCACTTTTAAATTTGTAACTTTATGCTTTTAATCATGAAAAATTATCATTTTCCCCCTGGAAATGTACAACTTCACAGCAAAAAGAGTTTTTTTTAGTAAATATGGGAAATTAATCTAGAAGTTTCTGATCTGCAATGGCCCAATGCATAATAAATAAAAAACTGATTAAGAAAAACGCGTACCAGTTTTTTTTCCACTTCATAATTATTCACTACTTTGTGTTCATTTATCATATAAAAAAATCCAATTAAACCCATTTTAGTTTGTGGTTGTAACATTTCAAAATCTGTGAGAAAATGTATGTTTGGAAAAAAACGGAAGCCTGTTGTGAGCAAATCAAAACTCCCTTTAACCGTTTGTCAAATAAACTCATGGACTGAAAAAACACAGAACCAAACAGAAATCCAGAACAGAAAACTCTCCTCTCTCTGTCGTTTTAGAGCCAAATCTTCCCAAAAAGAAAAAAACATTAAGAATGTATTTCAAATAGTGTCGTCACAAACAGCTAAATACGAAACGCACAACGTGAACTCTGCTCAAAGATTTTTAAAAAATGAAGAAATGAAACTATTCAAAGATCATAAGGCTTGTTCAAAGTTGGCAGCTGATAATAAAGTTTGTTTCTTTCAAATGGACAAACTTCCTGTTCCAATGACAAAAACCCTCCACATACTGCCCTGAGGAACTCCACCCATCCTACCGACCTCACCTGTAGAGTACATAGAGGGTTTAAGGCAGCGCGAAAGTCACCAGATTACTTCCTGTTTGTCCACGTCAGCAGAGTGACGGCTGTCCTCCATGTTGCTACTAGAAGTTTTCTGTTTTTTCCTTAGAGTGTTTTTTGGGTTCTTGGTTAGGTAATGGGACCCGACCCGGTCCAGTTGTAGCTTGTGACGTGGCGGCGGTCTCATGTGGATTTGTCTTTCTGGTTGCAGTTGTTGTCTGTGCTGCTGTGGTCGCGCTGCTCGTCCTGTGCAGCGTCTTCCTTCGCTCTGGCCTGCAAGCGTCTCGATTTGACGGGCAGAACCAGAACCACGAGGAGACACAGGAGGTGCAAGCAAAAGTACCACGAGCTGCAAAGACAAAAAAACTGCATCATGAATGGCATTTTAGCAAAATCTCTAGATTATCACAGTTTGTTGACAGTTTTTGATTCCAAAATGGTGCAAAAATGGTTGAAACCAAACATTGGGTTCAAGTGATGCTAACTCCCACCTGCAGGTGGCAGTATTTCTTACTCTGCTGCCTCTGTCTTACTTGATGCCAAATTATAGTCTGTGATTGATGCGGTATGTAACAAAAATCAAGCTAATTTAGTTAAATGGAAATAAACGACTGAAATAACACCGTAGCAGTGGTGGAAACAGCTAACTAAGAAGTTAGTTATATTAACACTAACACGCAAATTATAAACATTAGTTCCGCTAACGCTAAACAGCTACAACCTGCTACAACAGTATTTAGCAGAAGCTAACGCTAAAGCACTACGCCAACAGTATTAAAGCTATGCTAAAGTGCTAACTTCAAATCAAATTATATTTGACATTGAAAGACTACAATCCTCAAAACCATTTTAATCTTGACAAAGTAACTTTCTACGTTCTGTATTGGCCTTAGATATTGTATTTATGTTTATTTATTCCTCTCTACTGCCTCTTTTTTTATTTTGTTCCTGTATGTTTCTTGGTTTAAATAAAGTTATTGGAGGGAAAAAAAGAGAGGACGTCAGGAGAGGAAGTGGAACTGCTGTCAATAAACAAAACTTCAGATGTCAAACTTTATCCAACTGAAAATTTACAAATGGGCAAATAAATTAGAATTTCAAAATTTATCTGAACAAAAATATTTAGGGGAAGCTAAGTGAGCTAAATGAAATTATTAGCGGTTTTGCAGAAGAGTGTTCACTGCCGCACCATATCAAGTATTTTGTTCGCATTTCGTTAAAGCACACTCAAAAACCTACATGTTTCATCTATTGAATACATTTTATTCTTCCTGAAAAGGTTATAATAATAATAATTTCATAAGCTCAGTCTACAAGCAAGGAATCAGTGGGAACTGATGATGTCTTCTCATTTCTCTGTGAAATATTTAAACCATTTTATGAATTATGCGCCAAGAAGGAGGGCAAAGGTTAACCCTGAGGAAATGGCTCAAGGGTTAGCCTGCTTTCTTTACGTCACCTGTCTGGCAGCTAATCGCTAACAACCGGGTCTTTATGTCCCAGCACCGACTCGGCCCATTTTATTTCCTCCCATTAATCTGTCTTGTTAACCATTGCAGCCTCCCAGCAGAGATCCAGACGATTAATTCCTCTCATTCCCAGCAGAAGTTAGCGGTTAAAATATAAACAACACGTACCTGTAGAACTTTAGCGAGGGTCCAACAGCGAGCAAGACGAACGGCACCACCGTGTAACAAATGGCAACCTGCGTGCTAGCCCACGTGATGACATCATAGACGCGTTTGTGCGAGTCGGAGACCAAGAAGTACGGTCTGATGTTGTGCCGTACCTAAAGGAGGGGAACATGTTTAAAACTTTAAATTGCATTCATTCAGTTCCTAGAAAACTACAGCAAACGAGCTAAATGACCCGGTTTGACGAGTCAAACATGTCTGCTCATTAAAGGACCGTCTCCCGTTTCTCCATCTGAGGCTGAAGACAGAAGGATCATTATCTTTAGGCAGTAACTGGGTCAGCATTTTCTAGGTCAGGGGTGTACAAACTTTTAGTAACAAAAAATAAATGAAAATCCAGCAAATAAAGTAATCTATTTTTATTTTTACAAAAAGGGAAACAAAAAAGACAAGAAAATAGAAAAAAAAATAA